CATCATCATCATCATCATCATCATCATCATCATCATCATCATCATCATCATCATCATCATCATCATCATCATCATCATCATCATCATCATCATCATCATCATCATCATCCTCTTCGTCCTCCTCCTCCTCCTCCGCCTCCTCCTCCTCCCCCTCGTCCTTATCCTCCTCCTCCTCTTCCTCTTTCTCCTCCTCCTCCTCCTCCTCCTCCTGCTCCTCCTCCTCCTCATCCTCGTCCTTCGCGCACGTCTCCTGGCGAAGCTGAACCCGCAGCACCAGAAAGGCTGAAGCGCGCCTACACTGAAGCATACAGCAGGGGAACCGCGGAGGGAGCTGGTCCTCCTCGGGCTGTATACGATCGCCCGCTCAGCTGGGCGGCTCGACCAGAGACATGGCGTGGCGCAGCTCACAGGCTGTGGAGATCTTCGCCACCTCGGAGTGATCATCTTCTCCCAGCAGCCCGCCTACTGCAAAGCCAGCGCGTGCGAGGTGCCTGACGTAGAAGTTCAGGTACGGGATGCCTCGCTGAGTGCGCCCATGGGCTACCTTCACATCCACCTTCCCAACATGTACCCACTTCGGTGCTCCGTCGCTCACATCCTGGGCGTGGAAATGGAGCCCGCCGGTCCGCTTAGTCTCCACCCACACCCCTGTCATGTTCAAGTCTTGGAAATAAAGGTCTGCGCAGTGTACACCCAATTGCACCGCGAGCGCCTCTACATGAAGCAGCGATTCCTCAACACGCTGCCCCTTAGGAATGTTGATCAAGACATGACTGCCAGGCCTCATCAAGTCAAAACGTTCACCGTAGACATTTTGTAAGTGTGGATCGCCTGTTGCAGAGAGGGGTGTCGGGCTGGCCGTCGGGCTGGCCGTGGGACTGGCCGTGGGACTGGGCGTCGGGTAAGGCGTCGGGTAGGGTGTCGGGTAGGGTGTTGGGTAGGACGTCGGGTAGGGCGTCGGGTACGGTGTCGGGTAAGGCGTTGGACTGGCTGTGGGCCCAGACGTGGGGCTGGCCGTGGGACTGGCCGTGGGGCTGGCTGTGGGGCTGGCAGTCGGGCTGGCCGTTGGGCTGGCTGTCGGGCTGGCCGTGGGGCTGGCAGTCGGGCTGGCCGTGGGGCTGGCAGTGGGGCTGGCCGTGGGGCTGGCAGTCGGACTGGCTGTGGGGCTGGCCGTGGGGCTGGCCGTTGGGCTGTCTGTTGGGCTGGCCGTCGGGTTGGCTGTTGGGCTGGCCGTCGGGCTGGCCGTGGGACTGGCCGTGGGGCTGGCCGTGGGACTGGCCGTTGGGCTGGCAGTCGGGCTGGCCGTGGGGCTGGCCGTGGGGCTGGCCGTTGGGGCTGGCCGTGGGGCTGGCCGCTGGGCTGGCCGTGGGGCTGGCTGTCGGGCTGGCCGTCGGGCTGGCAGTCGGACTGGCCGTGGGACTGGCCGTGGGACTGGGCGTTGGGTAAGGCGTCGGGTAAGGTGTCGGGTAGGGTGTCGGGTAGGGCGTCGGGTAGGGCGTCGGGTACGGTGTCGGGTAAGGCGTCGGACTGGCCGTGGGGCTGGCCGTGGGGCTGGCCGTGGGACTGGCCGTGGGGCTGGCTGTCGGGCTGGTCGTCGGGCTGGCCGTCGGACTGGCCGTGGGGCTGGCAGTCGGGCTGGCAGTCGGGCTGGCCGTTGGGCTGGCCGTCGGGCTGGAAGTCGGGCTGGCCGTGGGACTGGCCGTGGGGCTGGCAGTCGGGCTGGCCGTCGGGCTGGCCGTGGGGCTGGCCGTGGGGCTGGCCGTGGGGCTGGGCGTCGGGCTGGCCGTGGGGCTGGCAGTCGGTCTGGCAGTCGGGCTGGCCGTGGGGCTGGCCGTGGGGCTGGCAGTCGGGGTGGCCGTCGGGCTGGCTGTCGGGCTGGCCGTGGGGCTGGCAGTCGGGCTGGCCGTGGGGCTGGCTGTCGGGCTGGCCGTTGGGCTGGCCGTCGGGCTTGCCGTGGGGCTGGCCGTTGGGCTGGCAGTCGGGCTGGCCGTGGGGCTGGCCGTGGGGCTGGCCGTGGGGCTGGCCGTCGGGCTGGCCGTGGGGCTGGCCGTCGGGCTGGCCGTGGGACTGGCCGTCGGGCTGGCCGTTGGGCTGGCCGTCGGACTGGCCGTGGGGCCAGCAGTCGGGCTGGCTGTTGGGCTGGCAGTCGGGCTGGCCGTTGGGCTGGCCGTGGGGTTGGCCGTGGGGCTGGCAGTCGGGTTGGCCGTGGGGCTGGCGGTCGGACTGTCCGTGGGATTCGCCGTGGGGCTGGCCGTCGGGCTGGCCGTGGGACTTGCCGTGGGACTGGGCGTCGGGTAAGGCGTCGGATAAGGTGTCGGGTAGGGTGTTGGGTAGGGCGTCGGGTTTGGCGACGGACTTGGCGTCGACGGCGGGGGGGTGGGAGAAGGCCCCCCCCCGCCCCCACCGCCATCGACGGGAGGAATGGCCGGAGGAATAATGGGAGGAATGATCGGAGGAATGTAAATATCCCCGCTGGAAGGGCTGGGCGTGGGGCCGGCAGTCGGGCTGGGCGTTGAACTTGGCGTCGGGCTGGAAGTCGGGCTGGCCGTGGGGCTTGGCGTCGGGCTGGCCGTGGGGATGGCAGTCGGGCTGGCCGTGGGGCAGGGCGTGGGACTGGCCGTGGGGCTGGGGGTCGGGCTGGCCGTGGGGCTGGCAGTCGGGCTGGCAGTCGGGCTGGCCGTGGGGCTGGCCGTGGGGCTGACCGTCGGGCTGGCCGTCGGGCTGGCCGTCGGGCTGGCAGTCGGGCTGGCCGTGGGACTGGCCGTGGGGCTGGCCGTGGGGCTGGCCGTGGGGCTGGCCGTGGGGCCAGCGGCGGGCTGGCTGTGGGGCTGGCAGTCGGGCTGGCCGTTGGGCTGGCCGTGGGGCTGGCCGTGGGGCTGGCCGTCGGGCTGGCCGTGGGGCTGGCCGTGGGGCTGGCCGTGGGGCTGGCCGTCGGGCTGGCCGTGGGGCTGGCCGTGGGGCTGGCAGTCGGGCTGGCCGTGGGGCTTGCCGTGGGGCTGGCCGTGGGGCTGGCCGTGGGGCCGGCAGTCGGGCTGGCCGTGGGACTGGCCGTGGGGCTGGCCGTGGGGCCGGCCGTGGGGCTGGCAGTCGGGCTGGCCGTGGGACTGGCCGTGGGGCTGGCCGTCGGGCTGGCCGTGGGACTGGCCGTGGGGCTGGCCGTGGGGCTGGCCGTGGTCGGGAACGGCGTCGGGTAGGGCGTCGGGTAAGGCGTTGGGTAGGGCGTCGGGTAGGGCGTCGGGTAGGGTGTTGGGTAGGGCGTCGTCGGGTGGGGCGTTGGCAAGGGCGTCGGGTAGGGAAAAGTCGGGGAGGGCGTCGGGTAGGGTGTCGGAAAGGGCGTCGGGTAGGGCGTCGGGTAGATCGTCGGGTTCGGCGTCGGGGAGGGCGTGCCGACAATCTTGGTCCACATCTGCTGCGCCGCGACATGGTAATACACGGAAGGGCCCGACCTGGGCTCGTACCCAGCGTTGTCCTGCGTGATGCCCACACAGTTCGCGTTCGCGGCGCAGATTTCCTGGGCGGCCGCGAGGGTGCTCTGATGGCAACGGTCACTCCAAGGACTGGTACCTGGGCATCCTAGGTATCCCTGGGGATATGTGGAGTCCCAATTGCACGCGTTCGTGGAGGATGAGCAGTCGGTGTGCGTGTAGGTCGTCGCTATGCCCCCGCCGCAAGCGCAGCATGCCATCGAAGCGTCGACCCCATTGACCGCCCAAGTCTGAAACGTACCCCACGCCACGTGGTCCCAGCCGGATCCGTAGCCTCCGGACGAAGTGCACGCTGCGTTGTGTTGATACCAAGAGCAAGCTTTCCCGTCACTGCTCGCCCACGTGTACGGTGTGGTTCCGTACCCCTCGGCGCAAGTACTGGCCGCTGTGACGCCCCCGCCACAGGCGCAACATGCCATCGTAGCATCAACCCCATTGACCGCCCAATCTTTAAACGTGCCCCACCCTGACTGCCACCCAGAGCCATATCCTCCAGACGAAGTGCAAAATGACCCATCAAGATACGAAGAGCAAGGTGTTCCCTCATTGCTCAACCACTCGTACGCTGATACGTAGCCGTCGGAGCAGGTACTGGCAGGACCCGAGAAATCAATCACGGGGCCGATAATCACCGGAAGCTGCGGAATCACGGAGGCGGTCGCCCGCTCGGCCTCCTCGCCGTCGGGGCCGCTCCTCTTGTCGCCGACGGCCAGCTGCACAGATCCCACGCGACTGAATATGGAGAGTGTTACTGCAGTGTGTTTGGCCCAGCGCATCTTGGATGCGAAAAGCGGCGGGTCCTGGGAGCGGTGCGATCAAATGCGAGTGTGCGCGAAACGCCGGAGTGCACCGGAGTCGCATAAAAAGTTCTCTGCCTGAGAGGCTTGAGCCCAAACGGTTACGGTTGTTTTCTGCTCCCTGGCCGAGTATCTGCACATGAGCGCGGGATCGCACGTTCGACATCGGCGGCAGTCGGAGGGGCGAACGCGCAGAACGCAAGGGTTCGGGGCCCCCCTCGGGACCTGCAGCCGAAGATATGATCAAGAAAATTATCATGTAAGAAATGCGGTCCCGCTTTCAAACTGCTGTTGATCAAGCTGGAGGGGCGAACGTGCTCAAGAAACTAGGCCAAATGTCCAGCAAATTGGTTAGGGAATGCCGGCCCAGCTTTTCGGGAGAAGGTTTCTTAATCACAAGCTCAACCGTAGTATCTCACCAAATTCGGCACGTTCCCCCCCAAACACCAACCGCGGCATCGTCCAGATGATGAGGATACCCGGACATCTCTGCCAGCGCCCGCGATGCGCGGCGCGCTGAGCCTCGCTAACAGACCGAGTTCAGCTGGCCATTCGGCAAGTAGTGATGAACAACATGCGTCACTCTACCTTACGGGGGTTGCTAAAGGTGCCCCTGGCCCAAGGTACCCCAAGCTTTTCGCTCCATTATGGAGCCCCGGGGGCCGTCTCGGCCTCGTGAGGGGTGCGCTGGAGGCCGTGGGGGCTTCCCCGGAAATCCTCTAGGCACCTTGGGCCAGGAGCACTTTTAGCATCACCCGAACCTTGTGACTGGAGGAAGGAGAGGAGGAGGCCCCGACTGTCCCCTCCTCCCTTCCTCACGCGTCCCTGCGCGGAGGAGGCCTCTACGTGGCCCTCGCCCGACACATACTTGGTCTCTTTCGCGTCTGCGGCGTTCCTTGGTGAGGCGTGCTCGTACCTGACGTGGAGAAACCGATGGCGAAAGACCCACATTCTCCTCATCCTCATCCTCCTCCTCCTCCTCCTCCTCCTCCTCCTCCTCCTCCTCCTCCTCCTCCTCCTGACCCTCCTTCTGCGCCTCCTCCTCCTCCCTCCTCCTGCTCCGCCTCCGCCTCCTCCTCCTCCTCCTCCTCCTCCTCCTCCTCCTCCTCATCTCATCATCATCATCATCATCATCATCATCATCATCACCATCATCATCATCATCACCACCACCACCACCACCACCACCATCATCATCATCATCAGCATCATCATCATCATCATCATCATCATCATCATCATCATCATCATCATCATCATCATCATCATCATCATCATCATCATCATCATCATCATCATCATCATCATCATCATCATCATCATCATCATCATCATCATCGCCATCATCATCATCATCATCAGTATCATCATCATCATCATTATCATCATCACCATCATCATTATCATCATCAGCATGATCAGCATCATCATCAGCATCATCATCATCTTAATCGATCTCACTATCGATCACACTCAACGGGACACCACGGGACACCACAGGAGACCACTGGACACCACGGGACACTTGTCGATTTCACTCTCGATCTCACTATCGATCTCACTCAACGGGACACAACGGGACACCACGGGACACCTCGGGACACCGCGGGACACCTCTCGATCTCACAATCGGTCTCACTATCGATCTCACGATCGATCTTACTCAACGGAACACCATAGGACACCACAGGACACCACGGGACACCACGGGACATCTCGGGACACCACATCGATCTCACTCACTATCGATCTCACTATCGGTCTCACTCAACGGGACCCCACGGGACACCACGGGACACCTCGGGGCACCACATCGATCTCAGTATCGATCTCACTATCGATCTCACTATCGATCTCACAATCGATCTCACTATCGATCACACTCAACGGGACACCACGGGACACCACGGGACACCACGGGACACCACGGGACACCGCGGGACACCGCGAGCCACCGCCGGACGGACGGACGGACGGGGGAGAATCATCTGTCTTGACTTCGCCCTAGCAACGGCGGACACCACAAGACACCACGGGGCACCACGGGACACCGCGGGACACCGCTAGGGCCACCGCCGGACGGACGGACGGACGGGGGAGAATCATTTGTCTTGACTTCGCCCTAGCAACGGCGGATACCACGGGACACCACGGGACACCGCGGGACACCGCTAGGGCCACCGCCGGACGGACGGACGGACGGGGGAGAATCATCTGTCTTGACTTCGCCCTAGCAACGGCGGACACCACAAGACACCACGGGGCACCACGGGACACCGCGGGACACCGCTAGGGCCACCGCCGGACGGACGGACGGACGGGGGACCTAGCAACTGCGGACACCACAGGACACCACGGGGCACCACAGGACACCGAGGGACACCAATAGGGCCACCGCCGGACGCACGGACGGAAGGGGGAGAATCATCTGTCTTGACTTCGCCCTAGCAACGGCGGACACCACGGGACACCACGGGACACCACAGGACACCGCGGGACACCGCTAGGGCCACTGCCAGACGGACGGACGGACGGGGGAGAATCATTTGTCTTGACTTCGCCCTAGCAACGGCGGGATCATTCCTCTCGCGCGCCCACGCAGCTTCGCCTCGCCCGCACGCACGACACGAACGAAACGAAACGATTTCCCGGATGGGGGTCTCCGTTCCACCGCGGTCTCACCCCCCAACCTGCGATTAATAATAACAGTGATGATGATGACGATGACGATGCTGATGGTGATAATAATACACAGACGACAATCAGGTGACGATGATGATCCTAATGATGATGATGCTGCTCATGATGATGAGTGTGACGATGATGATGGTGATCATATAATGAGGATGATGATGACGATGATGACGGTGATAAATGCTGGTGGCAATTGTGGTGATGATGATGGGAGTCAAATGACGATGGCGAAGACGATAATAGCTATTGTGGTGAAAACAACGTTCATGATGATCAGGTGATGATAGCGATTATAATTATGACAATGGCGATGCTGATGATGATGGTGATGATTATGGTGGTGCTGAAGGTGATGATGATGATAGCCAGATAATGTTGAAGATAGCGATGGCGATGATGATGGTGACTGTGCTGATAATGGCAATGACAATCGTACTGTGGCGTTGCCAGTGGCAATGATGATGATTAAATGACGAAGGTAGCACAGGTGGTGATGATGCCGATGATGATGACTGTGATAGTGGCGATGGTGATGATCAGACGAAGATGGCGACGAAAACGACGATGACGAGGATGATAATGGTGTTGGTGACGGTGGCGACGATAATGATAAGTATGCTGAGGATGAGTACGAGCAGATGATGATGATGATGATGATGTTGGCGATGACGATGATGAAGAGGATTGCGGTAATGATGCTCCGATGGTGATGATGATGACGAGTGCGAGGATGACGATGATGATCAGATCATAATGATGATGGCGATGGCGATGACGATGATGATAATGACAGTGATGATGATGATGATGATGGTGACGATGACGGTGAGCTGATGATGATGGCGATGCAACTGATGGTGATTATAACGATGATTATGATGACTAGGAGACAACGATCATGACGAGGTTGGCGGTTATTACAATCACATGATGACGGTGGTGATCAGATGATTGTGATGGTCGCACTGATAATGACAATAATGATGCTGCTTGTTAAAATGATGCTGATCAGGAGATGTTCATGAGGATGATGGTGACGACGATGCAAATGGTGGTTATGATGGTGACGATGGTGATGAGTAGAGGACGCTTGTGATAACAATGGTGATGACGGTGGTGTTTCTGACGAAGATGATTCTGATAACCAGATGGGGACCATAAGGATGGTGATGATGAAGATGATGCTACAGATTGCGATGATGGTAATATCCCTGTGGATGCTAGCAAACAATGAGTCTGATGATGATGACGCCGGTGATGGTGAGCACAGTGGCGACAATGATCAGATTGTGATGGTAAAAATAATGACACTGACAATAACATTAATGATCACATAATATTAGTAATTGTGACCATGATAACCCGATGATAATAACAATGATAATGATGGCGGTGGCGATGATGATAGTGATGATGGTAGTTAAAGTGATGGTCAAATGATAGAGGTAACGTCGATGACGAGGATGATGCGCACGATTGGGGTGATTATGACAGTCAGGCGACGACGATGGTAATGACAATGATGACGGTGACTACTAGAGAATGGTGACGACGATGATGATGTTGACGATGATGACAGCAATGATGCTGATGGCCAGAACATCATTAGTGTGATGAAGAGAAGGGTGACAATGGATATGGATACGGCAATAAAGGTAGAGATAGTAACGATGATGGCGATGATGGCAATGATGAGGATCATACTGATGATGAGCAGATGCTGGTGGTGCTTGTGGTGCTGATGCTGAGCAGATAATGATGACGATGACGCTGATAAGGATGATGATGATGGTGATGGCGACTGTGACAATGATGGTAGTGCGATCATGATCAGATGTTGGTAATGATGACGATGGTGATGATGATCAGATGGTGGTATTGATGATGACAACGACGATGATAATGCTCAAGAAATAATGGTGAGGGCGGCAAGGATGACGATGGCCATGATGAGTGAGATGGTGATGGTACACAGATGACAGTGCTAGGGACGATGAACATTGTGATGGGGACGTCGGTAACGATGATTATGATGATGGTGATGATGACGAAGACCATCAGACAGTCATGGCGAAAGTGATCAGTTGATGACGATGGCCAGGCCGATTATGAGGATGGCTAGGATGGCTACGACGGTGACGATGATGACCATGTCAAGGTGCAGATTAAGATGAGGTGGTGATGCTGGTGATGACGATGATGATGACGATGGTGATGATGATGAGGATAGGGTGATGGTGGCGGCGACTATGATAATGAGAATGGTGGTGATGAATCGATGATCAACTGGAGATCATGACGATGCAGAAGATGACACTGAGTGTGATGACAGAGATGACGATGGCTGGATGGCAATGATGACGATGATGATGATAAGGATGACGATCATGCGATGATGGTAATGGGATAGTGGTGCTGGCGACGGTGGTGCTAATGATGGTGATAATCGGATGACGGTCAGATGATACGGATGGGGACGATGCTGGCCAGGGGATGGCCTAATGATGAGGACGACAATGTCGATGATGTTTGCGATAGAGATGACCAGGGCATTGTGGTGAAGCTTACGATGACGATGTTGATGGCGAGAGAGAAAGTGATGATGCTGACGACTATGATGATGGGATGATGGTGGTGATTGTGGGAATGAAGACGATTAGATGATGATGACGAGGGCGATGATGATGATGATGATCAGACGATGATGATCAGGTGACGGTGGTGATGGTGATGATGATTTTGGTGATGGTGACCGTTAGATGCTAATGATGGGGAGAAAGAAGATGATGGCGATGATGATGTTATGGGTATGTTATGATGCTCATGTCGGTAATCACGAAGAAAATGAAGCTTGTGATGATGATGCTGACGCAAGGAAGGTTATAATGATAATGGTGGTGCTTATGATGATCACGATGGTGGTGATGATGATGATGGTGGTGGTGATAATCAAAATATAGAATAGATGACATTGACAATGCTGACACTGATTGCGACGACGGCAACAATCACATGATGATCGAAGGATGACAGTGATCTGATGGTGGTGATGGCCAGGTGATGACACTGATGATGTTGATGGCGATGATCAGGTGGGAGTCCGATAGTGCTGACGGTGGCAACGATTATCAGACGATGCCAAAATCAAGATGGGATGGCGACGATGACGATGATTGAAATGATGGCGATGATGATCAGGTGATGATGAAAATGCTGATGACG